ATTTTGGTATAGAAGGAAGATCGCTCTGCTTCGCAGGACACTTCTTTCTGTCATTGTTGACCTGAAAACCTGATTTCCAAATCTGTTTACAACCAGAGAACTTAAAACCATTTATCCGCTTTCCGTTTGTCGCTTTCATCCCGTATCGTCAAACTACCTTTGCCTGCATCATAGATTAACGAATCTGTGCCTGCATAATATATCGTCGCCAGCTCATTAGAGAAGATTAGTGAAAGATCCGAAGCTTCAGACTATTATAGTGGAACCCCTGGTGGAACCTCTGACCCGCGTGGATTAAGTTTGCGAAATCGTGGATGATACGCTGTGGTAGTGGCTACGTTACATACAGGGGAATCTGAATGGAACACCAGTGGTGACCTCGGTCTGAGAGACCGAATTTGATTTTGGCTTGATTTCATAGTTACTACGCATGTAACTTGGCTTAAAATAAAGGAAAAAGTTCAGTCAATAAATAAACAAAGGCATATAAATCGAAAAAATAAATTTTATTCTTGTAACATAACTTACGAAGCTCTGGATAGGACACATAGGCAATTATTTTGTAAATTACACTTGTAACTGGGAACTATACTGTGCGATCAAAAATGAGTTGCTGTCGAGTCACCTTTGGAATTTTTGTTTACATGGTAAATCGTATTTAACTTGAACTTCCAAAGGCGACTCGACAGCAACCCATTTTTGATCACCCGTTACTAATTTACAGTTGTAACTGGGAATTAGTTTATAATTTACAGTTGTAATTGGGAATTACACTAATTTACAGTTGTAACTGGGAATTATGCTAATTTACAGTTGTAACTGGGAATTATACTAATTTACAGTTGTAACTAGGAATTAGTTTTTTAATTTACAGTTGTAATTGAGAATTACACTAATTTACAATTGTAACTGGGAATTAATAGTATTTTACATTATTAGCCAGGTAAGTGAGTTTTTACTGGCGATAGAAGTTGACTAGCGAGCCGTTAGGCGAGCTTGTCATCTCCTAGAGCCAGTAAAAACTATTACCTGGCGTATAATGTACAATATTTTATTTGTTACTCATTTGTAAACAATAGTAAACGTAAATAATTAGTTCTTAAATTAATCTTGAAGAAATGTCTAAAATATCATGTTATCCATGTAACAGAGACTTCGCATTAATTCTGGCCAATGAAATTACTAGATTACTAACTTGTAAAATTTTTACAGGTCTGCTGTCAGTTTTACAAGTCAGTAGCGTTTAAACATTACGTTTACCCGTTTGCGTTTTGTCTTGTTAATCAACGTGTACAACTGAGTAACAAATAAACTAATTTACCGTTGTAACTGTCAAGGATAATTCCCAGTTACAACTGTAAATTAGTGTAATTCCCAATTACAACTGTAAATTATAAACTAATTCCCAGTTACAACTGTAATTTTCAAAATAATTTCCTATGTGTCCTATCCAGAGCTTCGTAACTAAATTGAATTATACACAATACTAAGCTTACGGGGGGATGCGCGTTGCAATGCTAGAATTTTCGTAGCATCAATGGCGGCGATGCATCGGAAAGCGGCCAATTACTCACGGCACTAAATATACCCAAATTTCCGAATTGTTCTTGATTTATGTTTGAAACAATGTGCAGTGGCAGCTTGAATTTTTAGGTACACCAACGGTGACGTTGGTCTGACAGACCGAAAGGGTTAATTGTCAAAGAACGGCTTGCTTCATCAAGTTGTTCGTCTGGTGTTAAACTCAGACACGCAGAATATTAAGCTAGCAGAACTAGCAGTGCCATGCGCTGCGCCGTTTTTACAAAAATTTGAAAAATACTTTTCGTCGGTCTGAGAGACCGTGCGTCACCACTGAAGGGGATCATAACGCACTGACGGAGTGTGTATCGGAAGTGGTACATATAAAAACAAACTCCGCTAAATCCCATTCATCGGCATCAGTAAATATTTAGCGCTGTTTTGAATTTAATACTCATCGAGTAGTTCTATTCTTTTGTTTGTATTTTCTTATATATTCACTCAGAGTAGTTTTATCTGGACTGTATTTTTTAGCAACTGATTTTAGCTTATCGTTTTCCTCAACAACTTCAATAACCTCCTCTGAGGTAAGCTTTTGTCTTACGACATTAACAATACTTTAGTAAGTTATTTAAATCTTCGAAACCAAACGGATGTTATAAGGTATGGTATTTTTTGACGACATTATTTAACAAGACGGAGCAAAATACCTAGGAGCATTTTGGTTCCGAATTTCTAGATTCCTAAGGTCATGCCATTTTCGACATATACCATTTGAAATGTTGTAGAAACTCGCGTTTCTCCCCTTCTAGCGGTTATCGTAGGAAATAATGTCCAGGATTTTCGCTTGACCCTTTTCATTACCAAAATTTTATCCCAAAACTCTATCCTTATGGCATTCTAAAATACAGCCCCGTGTTACTTGGTCGCCGTATAACATTTAATTTCTCAATGGTATAACTTTTGTGCTGTCTAGTCTACACTTTTTATAGGTTCGTTGATTACGTAGGTTCTGTAGTAGGTACGTACATACTACTTTAGTTGGCGTTATTTTCTAACGAAACGTAGCAATTGCTTCAATTTTTTGTAAAAAGATGTTATATTCAAGAATCCAACAGGAAATCGGTGAAACGACGGAATCGGAAGAACGTGATTTAAATACAACCTGAATACATAATACATACGTAAAAATTTGTTTTTTTATCGCATTTAGTGTCGAGGGGTTCCCCTTTAACGTGGAGCTGCCGTATGACGATAAAACGTTACCAGTAGAATCAATGTAGGTATAATGCGATTACCATAAGAAATTACGCATTTGCTATCTAAACGAGTTGTATTGTGAAAAGAATTATGTTCAATACATTACGCCGAATTACGTACTCTGGCTTTTCTGGGAAAACGTGTTTAGTTTCTCGTAATTTAGAAAGCGTTTTTGTATTAATCTGCACAGAGTAAACATATTCAATGCTATAATAGATTAAACTAGTGCATATGGAACGCTTACAAGGGAGGTTAATTTCCGGAACTGTTTTTGTTGGCTTTTACCTCAACTTATAAATGGCGGGAATGACTCGAGGGATCGTATATCTTTGGCAGATGAAAAACTAAAATACTCCCTCTTATCAAACAGGAAGTTGGGAACTTACGCGAAGTTCACATATCAGCTTGAGCTTCAACAAATGATCTCGAAACACATCTAACCAAGTTTTGTGGACCGGCGGAGGATTAATATTTTATTCCACGAAGTTTAATTACAGTTCTTTTATCATTAGGATCAGATACATGTAAAATATGGGTTTGTTTTTATTTAACGTGCCTTTGTGCCAGCGAGTCTTTCTTAAAAGTGAACATGCAATGCAATTATTCCAATATGTTAACATTAAAAAAACTCGTAAACTTAATAGGCGAGTGTTGTGCTTTTACCTTTTAATTATACCTATTATATTATATTTGATGTGGGTCAATTTTCTAAAGGGACTCTTACTATTTTATCAATTTATAAATAGTTATTTATATAACAATAGCGCGAAGTTCAGTTGCGGGCATTGAGATTTGAGACTGAAGGTATTTTGACGAGCAGTCAAATGCGCGAAATAACTGCGCCGAGCTGTATAGTGTTATACAGGGTGTCCCTAAAAGGTCTGTACAACGCGCTACCAGGGGTTCTTGGTATCAAAATAGGACGATTTAACCCAACTTACCTCTATCCAAAAGTGCTTCGGTAAGGCGCTATCTACCGCCAAAGATTAAAAAAAAAATCGTTATTTTTATTTTATCGGAAAATGGTTTTGCCGATTAAAATGAAATTCGGGATGTGAATGTCTAATGTAAAAAGGGTCTTTGTGATATCATCGTTTTGATTGTAGTTGCTATGTAGGTGGTAAAATACTGACCATCCACATCTGAAGAGGTCTAAAACTTTTTAACTACTATTTTGACAGTTCTGAATTTTTAGACACTGATAGACAGTTTACTTGCAAGCATTTTTGGTCTCTTGATGAATATCGCTATCTGTGATGGTTTACGATAAAAAAAAATTTAGGCATTATGAATGGCATGCACCATAAATGCGATTGTTCCTCAAAAACCACAAGTGCAAGCAAGAAGTAGGCTATGACGATTTGGAAACCTGTGAGTATACTCCCTAACGCATTGGCGACCATTTCCACGACTGTATCCAAACACTAATAGCATATCAGTTAACTCTGCGTTACTGTATTGAAAGGCCATATTACAATTTTAACAATGAAATTTTAAGTCTTCAAGCAAAACGTAAATTGTTCTAGTTTAAGAAACAACAAACAAACGTTACGCCACTCTAAGGTTTCACAGCCATCTTCTGATTTTTTGAGGAACAATCGCATTTATGGTGCATGCCATTCATCATGCCTAAAATTTTTTTTTTATCGTAAACCATCACAGATAGCGATATTCATCAAGAGACCAAAAATGCTTGCAAGTAAACTGTCTATCAGTGTCTAAAAATTCAGAACCGTCAAAATAGTAGTTAAAAAGTTTTAGACCTCTTCAGATGTGGATGGTCAGTATTTTACCACCTACATAGCAACTACAATCAAAACGATGATATCACAAAGACCCTTTTTACATTAGACATTCACATCCCGAATTTCATTTTAATCGGCAAAACCATTTTCCGATAAAATAAAAATAACGATTTTTTTTTAAATCTTTGGCGGTAGATAGCGCCTTACCGATGCACTTTTGGATAGAGGTAAGTTGGGATAAATCGTCCTATTTTGATACCAAGAACCCATGGTAGCGCGTTGTACAGACCTTTTAGGGACACCCTGTATACACATTTTTTCTACAACTGAACTGATTATTCATTAAATTTGCTGATGTTTAGATACAACTTTGTCCATGCGCGAAATACTTATTTTTCACTGTTGACGTTTTCGCGCAATTTGTTAAGAGCAACGTTACTTATTAATTATACGATCAAACGAACTTACCTTAGTGAAGTTCGATCGTAATTTTATGAATCTTCAGTCCGAGATATCACTTACTAGGTAGTACGCCCCTGGCGCTGCTACGTACCGCAATTTTAAAGCTAAAAATAACTAAAAGAAGAAAAACCTCTCCCCGTATTCCCACCGTTGGCCCGTGACGGAACATATTCATTTCTTTAAAGTAAGCCCTTGCAACTTCGAAGGGGAACCGAACAGGTTCACATGGGTGGGTGGGAAGTGATATCTCGGACTGAAGATTCATAAAATTACGATCGAACTTCACTAAGGTAAGTTCGTTTGATTGTATAATTTTATTTCACTTCAGTCCTTTTATATCACTTACTAGGTAGATGTTTAAAGCATTCATTGAAGTTGCATTTAATAACAAAATAATACATTTTACAGGTTATTAGAATTTAACACTGCTCTTGCAAACTCCGTTTCGTTTATAATCGGTCGGTTATAGAATCGTGCGAAACAGGAAGATTCTTCTCCCCAACCAGCCGATTGAAAAATGCCGTCCACTGAGACTCCTTGCCTAAAGGCGACCGAAGTAGCCGCGTGGCGTGTAGAATGAGGCTTAAATAGGTCCGTCGGAATTCCCGAATCTTGTAGGACCATTTTCATCCACCTACTCAAAGTTTGCTTTGAAGCTATCCCATGTGGTCTTCTAATAGATAAGAATAAGAAGGATTTGTTTTTTCTAAGGGGGGCAGTACGCTGAAGAAAAATTTTCAACGTACTACCTACACATAACGCTGGTAAATCCTTAAAGTAGAAGGCTTGAAGGTAGGGTTGAGGTTTCCCTACCCTTGTAGTTTTCACTTTATCAGAAATAAAAATTTGGAATCCTGAGGGGGATTCCCGAATGTTCTCAATTCTGATTAGAGCAATTGCATTTAACCTTTGTCCAGTAGTTAATAAAAGTAACATTAATAATTTTAAGGATAATTGTTTCAAAGTGAGATTCTCGTTTGGGAACCAATTCGAGAGAAAATTCAAAACTGGATGTGGGTTCCATGTGTTGGTGTACGGCTTCGGTGGTCTAGTATTTGCTATGCCTCTAAGGTAACGCTTCAGTAGAATATCCTCTCCAACATTTCCTGGTAGAATAAGAGAAAGTGCAGACCTGTGGCTATTAAATGATCCGTAACCGCAGGATTTTCTTGTTAAAATAGTGTGTAGGAATTTAATTACTTCTTTCGGTCCCGAAGAGAACAAGGAACTTCCTGTGAGTTGACAAAACTTCCACCACATCTTGTAAGTAGTGTTATATTGCGCTTCCGTTGATCGGGATATCGAATGAATCATTACCTCCAAAGCGCAATCCGGTACTCCTCGTCTCTTTAACGCTTCCCTGATAAACGCACTGCTACCAGGGTAAGGTTCCTTGGAAGAGGTCGGGTTTCCCTAAAAGGAGAAGTCAGTAAATTCATACTTGGACCTAAAGTCATAGGATGACCATCACATAATTCTAATAGTAATGGGTACCAAGATTGGGACGGCCACTTTGGAACAACTATAATTCCCACAGCTTTGTCGGAGACAATTTTTTGTAAAACTTTAAGAATAAGTGAAAAAGGCGGGAAGGCATAGAAAAAAAGGTTGCTCCAGCAAAGAGTAAATGCATCCACTGCTATCGAATTCGGGTCCGGGAGCCAGGAGACATAATTACAACACTTATGATTCAATTTTGATGCAAAAAGGTCTATCTCTGGTGCTCCAAAATTCGACACAATTTGTGTAAAAGCGGTTTGAGCTAGCGACCATTCTGTCTCTGTAGACCGACAGCGAGATTCTTTGTCCGCTCTCCAATTATCTTTAGAATTTATATACGAAGCAAAAATAAAAATTTCGTTCTTCTCGCACCATGACCAGATTTGTCGAGTAATCCCGTTCAAAAGAGGGTATTGAATACCACCCATCCTGTTGACGTACGACAGAGCAGTGGTATTGTCAGTACGAATTAGGATTTTACCTTTTGAACTATTCTTAGCAAAAGATTTCAGACCATAAAAAATGGCTTTCAGTTCTAAAAAATTTATGTGTTGCTTTCTCTCAACAGTACTCCAAAACCCATGAGTCTTTACGTTATCGCACCAAGCTCCCCAGCCAGAAAGCGAAGCATCCGTAAAGATCTCCTTCAAAAAAGGATCGCAACTGATACTGTGTTGTGATGACATAATATGTTGATCCCACCACCATAAATCAGGTAGGATGCCAGCATTTAGAGACATGGAGGAATCGTAATTCGAATTACTAGACCTCAAGGCCAAAAATTTTTGTCGTTCCAAAAGCTTCGTATAAACCCAGCCGTACTGTACTGCTGGGCAGGCAGACACTAGAACTCCGATAAAAGCAGCAAATTTTCTAATTGAAAAAGTTTTAGTGTGAAGAAAAAATTGTATAGAATCAGTAATTCTAATCTTCTTTTCTAAGGGCAATTCCAAAGTTAGATTTACAGAATCAAAAATAAATCCCAGGAATTGTTTTCTTTGAGAGGGGGTGAGAGAACTTTTGTTGTAGTTAACAACAAAGCCTAAGGATTCCAGTAGCTGGAGTGCGAATTTGGTATTATTTAAACAAACTAAATGAGAACTCCCTAAAATTAAAAAGTCATCTAAGTAGTTAACACAGGGAATTCCCTTTTTTCGTAGACAAGAAGTAATAGGTTTCATTAATTTAGTAAATGTGAAGGGAGCTGAAGATAAACCAAAGGGGATGCACGTGAACTCATATAAGTTTCCATTGAAGTTAAATCTTAGATACTTTCTATCTTCAATGTGTATTGGAATCAAAAAATATGCATCTTTAAGATCTAAGGTTGTCATAAAGTAACCCTTATTCAGAAGTTTTGAAGCAGTTCTATAGTCTTCCATTTTAAAGTGAAAATGTCTAACCGACAAATTAAGTTGCTTTAGGTTTAAGATGAATCGTTTTTTCCCATTTGGTTTATCTGCTAGAAAAAACCCCGATAAGTATTGATCTTTGTGTGGAGTACAAGCACAAATAGCTCCCAACTTTAACAAATCGTTGACCGATTGTAACAGGTGAGCGTGCTGCTCCGAAGAGAACGAACTCACACAAGGTGGCCGTTCCTGTCTTGGCGGGTAAACAAATGGGATACGATAACCTGATATCCAAGACAAAACTATCGGATTCGAAGTGATTCGTTCCCAGTTTGTAGTAAACATAAATAATCTACCCGCAAAACGTACCTGGTTTTCATTAGAGTTAATTAATTCCGAAAATTTTTGTAAGGGCGCCCTTGGACTGACCTCGATTCCCTTCTGTATCGGGCCGGGCGATGTCTGTTTCCCATCTCCGTCGAGGGAGTGAATTTTGTAAACTGACCCCTCTGTCGTCCCTCACGTCCCTTGGGTACAAGACTTTTAAACCTTGGTTTGTTCGAAGAATGAGGTAGCAGATCTTTGCTCGTTCTTTCGAGCACTTTTGCTGTTTTAACCAACTCTCCGAAATTTGACCCAAATAAGGATCTATCGGCAGTGGTTCCTTCTGCTAAATCTCGCATAGATTTGTTGAGCATCGGAAGCAGTAAGTTGCGCCTTGTTTTGGTTAAAGTATAGAAGAGGTCAGTAAAAATTTTGCCTGCATCCCACAAAGGTAAAAGTAAACTTTCTTTTACCTCTTTCGATAAACCGTCTGGATCATTTAAAATATTTGAAATGCTCAACCCTAAAGCATTAAGACCCTGAGCTATCTGTAACTGAATATCAGTATAGCAGCTGTCTTTTTTCCGGACTGTTAAATTAGTCACTTGCGACAATTCTTGGTTGATTGTCGGAGGGGTTAACTCCAGATTACTGTTTAAATTATACTTCCTTTTTATAGAAGCTAAATCGTTTTCTGGTACCCCATTGAGCAAAAAATTGTTCCATCTGGAACAAATAGCTGTATTTAAAGTAATAGTATTACTTTTAACTTTTTCGGGATCTTCGCCAATAATATTTAAGACATCATCATCCAAAACTACGTCATTATCAATAACCAAAGTCGGTGAGTTCTCTTTATTCTCCTCCGTTGTTAAACCTCCTGGGGTCTGATCAACGTGCAGATCAATCTCAGAGTGAAGAAAACTTTCATTATCTGAGGCCGAACTTCTGCGAGTCCGGTCCTGCAGAGTATGTGAGTGGCGAGACCTCGACCGAGAACGACGAAATCGGGTCTCGTCCGGAGTCGACGGAGAGCGAGAATTGCGGCGATGTTTACGCTTAGAACGTTTTCTACGCCATTTTCTCTCCCGTCTTTCCAAACGTTTCAGACGATCTAAAACGGATAACGCCTCGTCATTATCTGACGAGCTAAAGCTTCTCTCTTCCATGTCTAAAAAACAAAACTAAAAGTAAATAAATTAGAGAACTTACGTTACGAGCGTCGTACACAAAGCGGTAACGAACTTATCACGCGCAGCGCAAAAGGCAGAATGAATATGTTCCGTCACGGGCCAACGGGGGGAGTACGGGGAGAGGATTTTCTTCTTTTAGTTATTTTTAGCTTTAAAATTGCGGTACGTAGCAGCGCCAGGGGCGTACTACCTAGTAAGTGATATGAAAGGACTGAAGTGAAATAAAATTAACCGTTTATTAATCTAGTACCTGTTTCTAGTGTTGAAAACACTCATACGGAGCCTAGTTTTTAAGTTTATACGTAACGTTATAACGGGCAATCAAAAAAGGATTGACGTCGAGTCGCCTTTGGAAGTTCAAGTTAAATATGATTTCCCAAGTAAACAAAAATTCCAAAGGCGACTCGACAGCAACTCTTTTTTGATCGCATAGTATGAAACGCTCGAATGGCAAAAACATTAACGTAGCAATTGTTTTTTACTTTCCTCACTATAGAGGAAAATTGCATTCCTTCTCCCTTTTTAGAGACAAAAGTATTTGTTTCTAAAGTAGTTTCAGAAGAAGTACATTTTTCTACAATGTCAAGCAATTCCCAGATCTCGCAATTCTTGCAACTTACGAAAGGTGTTGAAAACAAACGTACTATTACATAATATAATGAACAATATTTATTATGATATTAAAAAATAAGAATGAATATGAAAATAGCTAATACAACAATTCATGCGACTATCAGCGACATTGGAAATAATAACAGTATAACACCATAATATGTAAAACACAAATAGGTCTTATTCATTGGGTCATTGGGTCGACCTTCTGAATAAGAATGTGGCTTTCAACATCCGAGCGTTTAATAAAAACGTTACATACAGACTGCGGATCTAGGCTCCGTAGGAGTGTTTTCAACACTAAAACCAGCCATGTAACGATAACTGTAGGTAACTCTTGGGTCTTGGGCTATAACAACACTTTCTCTCATAGATTTTATTAAAAAAAAAGTTTTTGCGATATTCTGCACAAAAAAACATTTAATGGGCTTTTTCGTGTCTAGTGTTAACTTAGTCAAAATATTAGGACGTTAATAGACATTGTGCTAGTCTTTTTAACATTGGAAATATTTATGCTTTCGTATGGGTACAAAGTTACCAGTTTCGTTCAAAGCCAAAAGACAACGCTGCCACAGCAAGTGACGATTATACTGTAGTCGGCCGTGATCGATGGGTTAAGGAAAAGTAGCGGGTCGATACATGGCGATCGGTACTTACTTAATAATGCTCAATTGTTTCGTTAATTCCAATCTAAAATTCTCGCACATCTCCTTTGATCGTATTACGAGCATCTTACGACGCTTATCATTCAGAAGGTACACGTTTACGACACGAGCGAGCTTGCGAGTGAGTGGAACAAGTGTTCCAAGTGAATAAGAGTTGATAAATTGTGATGTTGAAGGAAATGCTAGTGAGAGTGACACTCACGAACTTGATTACATCTATGGTATTTCACGTCAGGCGGACTTCTGCTGTATGAAAAATTATCTGCGTAGATCAATTAATAAAAATTTGCACATACATTTAGAGCAAGTATAGGTACCCTAACCGATAACAATAAAATATACAGTGTGTCGCATTTAAAAACAAAAAGTGAAGGTCACTTCTGGCTAAACCGGAAGTGGGAAGAAGGAAGTGTTACAATTAAATGCACCAATATTTGTTATACCTATAAGCACACCCATTATTAAACAAATTGTTTAATAAATAGCGGCATTAATTGACCGTTCCCTGACTTTTTACTTACCCTGTACATTGCTATTATCCGGGGAGAATTTACAGCATACGACCTAATTGTTCGTGACATACACAAGTATATCAAACCCTGTATTAGTAATGTTCCCTATAATACAATTTACATCATTTCAATTTATTCTTTGTTAGAAGAATTTGTCTTAAGCGGCGGTGACTGAATAGTAATATTATAAATGGGTTAGGTACTGTTTTTCAATTATTCTCTGGGCGTTCATTGTATTAAGAAAAAAATTAGTTTTTCTACTTTTTCAACGTAAAATTCCCAGCAGTTGGTGAAAACAACTACTGTACATTTAAAACGTTAATTGCTTTTTCTTTTCGATTTAAAACAAATTGTACATCGACAAAATATTGTTACTACTGGCATCACATAAATGCAAGTGTAGCTCCGCAGTGAGGATCAATAGATTGAAGAGGTTAATGTCGTTTTGTCATTTTGGACTTGATTACACCAGTGTATAGCGGAAATTCGAAAATATTCAAATAGGTATACTGAAAAACGTAATGATACCTAAGCGTAATTAGGGAGTGAAGTGCAGTTATGGTACGTCAGGCACCAATGTGTTCTCCGTAGCATTTTTTTTTATACAACTTCTCATAAAACCATTTGTTCAGTGGAATTTACTGTTCACCCAATTCAGATTATCATCGCGTAGAGAATCAAGATTACTTGAACACCGAATACCTATACATGGACCAGTGCACTTAATCACATGTAAAAGGTGCTCCCAGGGTATGCAGTGTATTGGACTCGCGTATGCGGGTCGTGTATGTTAAAAAAAATATGTGTGCGTGAACCGTTAATATTTCCATTTCTATTACGGTAGAGAGCGAAACGGCTTCATAGTGAAAAAGAACGGAACTAAAATGCGATAAAATGAAGCGCTTTCAAATAAGAAGCGAGTGTGCAAACAGATAAGACTCAAAACGTCAGTGTCGGATCTACGTTTTTATGGAGTATGAGGGACGGACTTTTGCTACACCCTTACATGTATTAAGCTTGGTTTGCGACCGTTTCGTTTTTTGATTCGGCGACTGAATTAGCAAAAATTGAGTGGGAGAAAGGGATTCTTCGCTGAACCTTCAAGAAGAATCTATCAAAGTCGAGTGCGACATTTTAGATCCCGTAAAATTTATTTTCAACCGAAAGTTTCAAAACGAATTCGTATAATCGGGGTATATGGAAGATTTCACAGCCGTGTAACCTTACGCGATATTTTTATCGCAAAAATTGAAGTTCATTGCCGAACTACAAGAAAACTGCGCCGCCTATTCGACGAAATTATTGTCGTGCGCCTCAGCCGAGAAACAACTTTTGTCTAATAAGTTGTCGTCTCATAGAGTTACGTTTAAACTAATCCCTCCTCGTTATTTCCTGACAAGTTCCGTATGAGGAACCAGTTTGTTGGCATAGCTGTCAGTGGCTTTTGCGGGTTTTGTTCAAAACGAGCACGCACATTTTCTACCTACCGCCTCGTTAGCAACTGTTGGGCGACCTGCGGGTTTTCTACAAGCAACACTTCCTGTATCGTCAAATCACTTAACTACACGAAGAATGTGGAGGCGTATGTTCTTGTAATCAACGACATGTTCAGGATATGCTTCTGGAAATTCCTCCATGTACAAAGTCGAATACGTCGAAACTCCGTTTCAGCATTGAATAAAAATAGTGTTTTTATTCAATGGTTTCAGTCTTACTTCCATTACGGAAATAGGACTGCAAAAGCAGCTTATGTTCTTCCAAAGTAAAAGGCATGCGCAGTTGCAGAATATTACAATTTAAAACGACAAAACATGAATTTCTGATTTAAATTGTAATTTTCACACCCTATAATTATTCGTTGCAAAATGACAACATTAGCATTACATTTCATTAGCAACCAGTCTCACATTGCACGTTTTTTACATGCGGATCTAAAAAATGATCTCTTAATGGTGCTAAATTCGGTAACTCCATTAAACCTTTTCTTGGATTATTTTTATGAGAACGGAAACCAGCATTCGCAACAACTTTTCTTAATAAACTTTTGGTGCCATTAATAATCAGTGATTAAATACGTCTTTCTCTTTTAAAACAAAATAACAAAGAAGATTAGAAATACTTTTTTTGAAAAATACATTTATCAGTCAAACAAAAACACGTAATTCCAATTTTTTATTGTGGTTGTTTTTGTTTTGTCAATACGTTGGCAGTACAATATTCTCCAAAAACATAATTGATGGCGTGATGCGCAAACTAAGGAAAACCATACTTTAGTATCCTACCCCAATATAATTTATGTGTGCTGTTTTCAAGTATTACTGGTGGAGTGTATTTGTAGTATGGTGTGTCACCTGTTATGAGATAATGTCTAGGAGCTAATTTTTGATGCACGATTTTATCTACTGGATCGCGTCAAAGTTTGTATTCTGTTTGCGCAAGTGTACATGCCGATATTATGTGTTGGATTGTTTCTGATGTTTGTGAACAGCGTGGACAAGAATCATATTGTCTGTCAGTGTTTCGTCTTTAAGTATGCGTTTTTTTTTTAAATATTTGTGTGTGGTAACAACCCAGTCTTGTATAACTAACATGAGACCTTCAGCCTCTGGACTGATATCGCATTCGAATAACCAAGTGTGCGTGGCTGTAGATTGTAGAATCAACACAAATGTGGTTAAGTTGTTGTGGAAATCGTCTGTCGGTCTATGTAAATGCCTTTGGTTCCATACATGTAGGTTATTTGTGATGCGTTGGTGATTCAGTTTTGATGTGGGTTGAAGAATATTTGTTTTGTATAGGTTGAGAGGCGTTAAAATTTATCTGCACATTAATGTTTTGAGCAGGACTAAAGGGCCTGATTTGTTATAATTATGTATTTGTGTTTGGGGCTGTTTTATGTCTGTAAATCTAAATAGCTAATTGATCTCTAGGTTCTTTTTTTGGGTTCAACGTTCAACAATGATGATAGTCAGGGAAACATTTCTGAAAAAGACTCTCTAAATCATGTCTAACGGCGTTTTGTGCTACAAACTGGCAACAGGCTGTTCTACACCTTTTCCACTTTTATTCGAGAAACTATAAAGTTAATTTGAGAAAGTATCAATTGTAGTTCAGAATAGTGATTTGTATTTGAGAAGGCATCAAATGAATTTGAGAGTAGTAAATTGTATTCAAGAAATGGTAAAATGTATTTGAGAAGATATCAATTGAATATGAGAAATCAAATCACATGTATAACATAGCCTGATGCTGCTGCGGGACTACATA